TTGTTTATAGGTGCAGATAATTACTGCTACATTATTTTGGATGGGTGCTGGTGTTCAAGTTTTGTTGATAAATAATTAAGTCATAGCTGTGCTGCTATATTTCATTCTTTTATTAAGTTCTGATTGTTTGTTGTTTAGTCATCGCTGGTACTGCTGAGTAGACGTCGCATTAATATTAGTAATTAGGTTGTTGTTAGTAAGTAATAAGATTGTAGCTGGTGCTACTATATTTTGTTTTTGTTTTGCCACTAATTAAACTGATGTTGTTGATTAGTCATCATTAGTATCGTTAAGTAAGTTGTCGTTAATACTAATTAGGTATATACTTAAATTGTGGTTAGTGCTGTTGTATTTTGTTCTTTATAGGTTATTGATTTGGTTACCATTGAAACATAGTCATTAGTACAGGTGATTAGATCATGATTAGGTCATTGTTAGTGATCATCTTGTTAAATAGTAAACATTTCATCAAGGTTAGCCTATGCAGTATAAAAACTATCAGCCGATACTATACATCACGAATTTGACCAATAATGCTAATATTTGTTGCAATTATTGCTATTTTTCTCATCTCGGTATATATATTGTAAGGGGGACAGAATTCAAGTAGATTTGAAATTTTAAAGTTAAATTAGGGTTAGGGTATAGATGTACATATGGTAAAATCTAGAGATTAGACCCATATAAAATTTTTTTTCCGGATAACCGACCCGTATTACAAACTCAAAACCGGATAACAACCCGGTTTATCCCAAATGACCCGAATAACCCAGTTAACCCGGTTGACCTGGTTAAGATATCAAAAAAATTTGTATTTCACATAATTATAACCTGAAAATTTGCTATATACGTTATGCAAATAGCGATTTATAGAGAGATAGTCTAAAGCCGGGTAGTTTTAAATTGATTACTAATCAAATTGTAAATTAAGTCATGTAGCATATATAAAATACTACAAGGCATTAGACGACCTCCTAATAGGGAAGGTGACAGTATAAATAATAAGAGGCGTGAAAGAGATTGGTTCGAGTTTTGGGTTCTTTCTTAGTGCTGCAGTGATTACAAGATACGCAAATGATACTTTAGATAAGTGATTTCTATTGCTATATCTCTGTATCTTCTAATTCTTAGTGTGGCAGGCTCCAAATATTTGATCTCTACTGTGAAGATTCTTAGCGATTGTGAGCTTTAACTTTATATAGATCACAATTTCGATCAGTACGTATACATATTATTTTTAATATAAAAGGGGTTCTGCTTATTAATTTGATAACTTTTACTAATACAAGGTAATGGATAATAATAGTTTCGGCGTCAAGAAATAATGATGATAGGACATGAGTTTAACGAATTAGAGAAATACTACTTAGAGACTACAGAGACTACACTTCTTATAATTTCGAAGTTTTGGGTTAACTTTATTGAAGATAAATGGAGTGTTTATATACTTTTCGTTATATATAAAATGAAATTTTGAATTTAACAAATTTAACAAATTTTCTACTATTTACTCTTTTCTTTTAATTTCTTTTATTTAATTAATCGACCAAATTTTTTAAAATTTACACAATTTGATAAATTTAAGAAATTTTACAACTGTATTACGAATATTAGACATCATTTTATGTAATACTAATTAAATCGCTATTTCTTTTTAGAAACAATATTTGGGAAACTATTTCTGGATTGAGACGAGATCGCTTTGATGTTATTTGATTTCCTGCATCGGAGAATAAACGCTCACTTGAAACAGAGGTGGCTGGAATAGATAAGTATTTTTTTGCTAGTTTACTTAATTTTGGAAAGATATTTGTTCGTTCTTTCCACCATACCAAAGGTCGAGCTTCTTGTGAGGCTATAGGTGTTTTATCAAGATCCAAATACTTGTCTAATTCATTATCATTCAATAGATTATCATTATCTTTATCATCAAATATTGATGCAAAGTAATGATTTTTTGAAGTTATACTGGAAGAAGCAGTGGATTGTATGGGTGCTGCATCGATAGTAATCTTATCAAGTTCTTCACGGCATATTCTAATTGCTTCGTTTTTTAAATAATTAGAAAAAACATGCATTTTTTTGAGCCTTGGATCTAGTAGAGTTGCTAGAAGACCGGCATATTTTGGGTCACCCCAATATTTCCAAAGAGAATTGTAAATTGCTTGTTTAACTTGAGCAATTACTGATTGAACGTCGTGAGTTTCTAGCCCCCGAACCGCTTCACTTTCACCATTGCTACTATCGCTACCTATATTTGATTATAAAAGGTAAATATTAATATTTTATAGTAATATGTGATAACAAATTTAAAATAATTTATATAATAATTACTGTATTCTTCATCAAAATCATCTTCGGCTAGAGTTAAATTTGAATCTTTTCCAAATTCGGATTTTAGAACTTCGATTATAGGGTATATAACCAATAATGTAGAATACTTTTTAGCACTGAATGCTTTAGTTGCTATTTCAAATGGTTCAAAAATTTTAACTAATTCTGCAACCAGTTTCCATTCACCTTTGTTAGGTAAGCATCGTTCAAGGTTTTGTCCATCTTTTTTGTCATCTGAATTCTGTGAAATTTTTAAATTGGCCTCTAACCATATTATTGCATCTTTTAATTTTAATAATCTTTCTCAAGATCAATAAGTAGAATTCTAGCGCGTTGGGCAATCCTTAATTGGGCGAAGTGGTTTGAAAGCGGTATTTATATTTGGTTGCTCTGAATCTATATTTTCATCGTTACTTCCTCCTCCTCCTCAAAATAATATTCGGTATTTATTAAATTAGATGAAGATAATTTATCTCTTTCTATTACTATTATTTGAGCCTTTTC